TCATAATAAGTGTTTTAATTATATATTATGCAAGAACAGACAACTATTTCCTGATGTTTGGAGAGTAAATTTAATATTAATTATAATTATATAGAACTTTTATTTGTCAATCTTAAATTGCTACACACACACACACACACACACACACACTCAATTAAACATTTAAGGAAGGTAGGTAATTTATTACCCCCATTTGGCAGGTGAGAAAATTGAGGTTTGATGAGGTTGTATAATTTGTTATAGAATATATAGTTTATGTCTTTAAAACTCTTCATCTGTTCTAGTGTAATACATTATGTGCTTCAATTCTTTTAACTCATTTTAGCACTACTAAAGTGCTACTGAATAAGTAATAAAATACTGTTTCAAAATTAAACCAAAATGTAACGGAAAACTTTTTTTTTTAATTAATTTATTTATTTATACAAGCACTGGGTACAGTGGGACCCTCCCCTGGCCTCCGGGGAACAAACAGGCATTGCAGAGACTGCAGGCAGCTTCGCAACCCAGAGCTCAACCGCTGCGCCACCCCGGAGGCCCTTAACTGAAAACTCGTAAGACATTGTTGAAAGAAATAGAAGATACAAAGAAAAAAAAAGACATTCCTTGCTCAAGGATTGGAAGAATTAACATCATTAAAAGAATCATATTACCTAAAGCAGTACAGATTCAACATAATCCCTATCAAGATCTCAAAGATTTTCTTCACAAAAAAAAGTCATAAAATTTATTTGGAGCTACAAAAACACCAAATAGCCAAAGTGTTCCTGACATGAAAGTATAAAAATATAAAAATCAACTCAAAATGGATAAAACTTGGATGTAAGACCTTAAACCATAAAATACATAGCAGAAAACGTAGGTAAAACACTCTGTGACATGAACTTCAGAAATACCTTTGTGGATTTGTCCCCAGCAGCAAGGAAAACAAAAGGGAATATATACAACTGGAACTACATCAAACTAAAGAGCTTCTGTATAACAAAAGAGACAGTAACCAAAGCAAAGAGACACCCTACTGAATGGGAGAAAATATCTGCACACCATACATCTGACAAGAGACTGAGATGGAAGATCTACAAAGCGCTCATACAACTCAACAAAAAGGAAACAAACAGAAAATGGACAGAAGAACTAAATAGGCACTTCTTCAAGGAAGACATGCAGATAGTGAACAGGCATATGAAAAAATGTTCATTAGCATTTATTATCAGAGAAATGTAAATCAAAACAATGAAATACCACCTCACACCAATTAGAATGGTTCATATTAAAACAAACCAAAAAAAAAAAACCCAAAAAACAAAAAAAAAAAAAAACAACCAGAAATAACAAATGCTTGCAAGGGTGTGGAGAAAAGGGAACACTCTTACACTGTTGGTGGGAACATAGACTGGTCAGGACCCAAGGAAAGCAGTGTGGAGTTTTCTCAAAAGACTAAAAATTGATCTGGCACACAACCCAGCAATTCCACTCCTATGTATCTACCCAGAGAACACAAAAACACTAATTTGAAGGGAAACCTGCATTTCTCTGTTTATAGTGGCACTACTTATACTAGTCAAGATATGGAAAAAGCCTACATGCTTCAGAGCAAATGAATGGCTCAAGAAGATGTAGTATACATACAAAATGGAATACTACTCATGTGATCAAAAAAGACACACTCATGCCATTCGCAGCAACGTGGATGAAGCTGGAAGGGATTATGCTAAGCAAAATAAGCCAGAAGGAGGGCCTCCCCAGTGGCACAGCGATTGAGTGCTGGGTTGCAAAGCTGCCCGCAGCCTCTGCAGCGCCCGTTTGATTCCCGGCTGCTCCCTGGCCACCAGAGGAGGGTCCCACATGGCGCGCAGACCTCTCCTGCCGCCCGCTGCTCCCCTCAGCAGTGTACTTCGGTCCTTCTGCCTGCTCTGCTCCCCGCTCTGGCTCTGGTGAATTCTCTTACCCTCCCGCGTGTCTGACTGTACCCAGTGCTTGTATAGATAAATAAATAAATCTTAAAAAAAAAAAAAAAAAAGCCAGAAGGAGAAAGATAAATACCAGATGGTTTCACTTACAGGTAGAATAGTAAGAAACCAAACAAAAGGTCAGACAAAGACAAACTTTAAAAACAAACCCTTGGAAGCTGACTACAGATTTGGGGCATGCAGAGGGAGAGGAAGGAAAGTGATGAAAAAGGTGGAGTGTGAGAGTACAATGAACTATGGTGGAGGATAATGGGTCCTTTCATGGCAGGAGAGCTATGCTGACCACATCTAAGGGGAGAAATCCTATACTGTCAAAAAACTAACAAGAATGTAAAATAATGGTGCTTCATTAAAAATTAAAAATAAAAATACTTTCGAGTAAGAAAAATAAAAATGGAGGGCCTCCCCTGGTAGCGCAGGCTGTTGAGCGCAGCGCTATGAAGCTGTCCGCAGCCTCTGCAGCGCCGGTTTAATCCTGGCCAGCCAGCCGGCGAGGGTCCCACATGAAGGGGCAGACCTTTCCTATTGTGCCTGCTGCTCCCCTCAGCAGTGTATTTCGTCAGTCTGCCTGTTCTGTTACCCACTCTGTCAGGTGAAGCCTCTCACCCTCCTGCGCATCTGGCCCATACCCTGGTTCTTGTATAAATAAATAAATAAATAAATCTTAACAAAAAAATAAAAATAAAAATGGAAATATGTTATCCACTTTCTGGAATAGTAATTAAAACAGCATGTTTTTGGAATAAAAATAGACATAAATGCAGAAAAGCATTGAGAGCCCAGAAATAAAAACACACATATATGGACAACTAATACATGACAAAGGGGCTAAGACTACACAGTGGAAAGTCTATTCAATGACAAAGGGGCTAAGACTACACCAAGGAAAGTCTATTCAATAAATGGTGTTAGGAAAAATGGACAGGGACATACAAAACGATGAAACTATACATTATCTCTCATCATTTACAAAGATTAATTAAAAATGGTTGAAAGACTTAGGTATAAAACCAGAAACCACAAAATAAATGCAAGAAAACAGACAAACTCCATGACATCTACCTTAGAGATATTTTGGGATTCCATTCCAAAGACAAGCATAACAAAGGCAAAAATAAGATGAGTCCATGTCAAATTAAAATGTTTTCTCACAGCCAATAAATCAACATTGGGCCTCCCAGGTGGTGCAGGGGTTAAGTATCAGCACTATCAAGCTATCCCCAGCTACCACAACATGATTTCAATCCCTGAGCAGGAGCTAACCCACATGACACAGCAGACCTCTCCTGTCTCAACTGCTGCTCCCCTCAGCAGTGTGTTTCAGTAGATCTGCCTGTTCTGCTCCCCACTCTGTCTCTGGTGAATCCTCTCACCACCCAACCTCTGGCCTACACCCCAGTTCTATGCAAAAATAAAGAAGAAATTAAAAAAAAGACTGTGGCAAAAAAAAATATGTAGTATACTTGTGCCATACACCTAATCCAATGTTAGTTCATTAAGACTTTTAAAAAATTGAATGTGCAGTCAGTGCATTCAAATGGATGGCATTTTTGAATCCTAAATAACTATAGGGGTACCTTTGGCTGCTGCAGGATCTGTAAAGCTTTCCCCATTGATTTAGTTGGTTTATTTGTGCATTTATTCATTTAGTAGCTATAGTGCATTTACCATACAATAGGCACTCTACTTAGTGCTGAGCATACATAGAAGAAAGGTATGGTCTTTATCTTCAAGCAGTTCAGTGGTGGGATTTCTCTGTACACATTTATAACACAGTGCTACCAAGGGTAATGTGTGTGTGAACAGGGCTCTCAGAAGAAAAAGCATATTAAATATCCAGAGAAAGTCAGGCCTGGTTTAGGCCAGTCCATCCCAGATTATCTAGGAGCAAACGACCTCTTATATGGAATTTGTCCTTTTTTTTAAGAGGTGACCCCAGGCAGTCTGCATCGGCATTACTCTTAAAAAACTTGCCTCATGAAAATAACAATGACATTCCTGCTTTCTTCTGGCAATAGCCCTCTTGTGACCTCTCACTTTTTCTAAACTTTTCAGTCAAATGGGACAATATGTTAATCTCAATCTTAATTTTAATGAAGGGGTCTCTAGATTCTGTGGCACTTGGTTTGTTGGTTTTGGATATCAATTTATAAGTGTGTAGCAGACCAGGTTAGTTTTCTAGGGCTTGGATCATGGAGACACTTGAGAAACATGACTACAAATTCCATGCTCCATTGCTACTATACTATCTTTCATCCCAGATTTTCAGTATCTCTATAAACAGGAGGAATGTGGGATTTCCATATTGATCCCTTAATAACATTTCATTAGTTGCCCTAGTTTGTCCACTATCCTTGTGAATTCCTGATATTGGAATGCCATAGAAAGGTTCAGTATGATAGCAATGACTGACATATCCCTGATGTGAAATGTTAAAGTAGAGTTTACTAAGAGTACAGAGATTTGAATATTGGTTCATGTTCATGGTTATCTTGGACAAATTACATAACTCTAATTCTCAGTTTTCTTATCTGTAAAAAGGAGAGTAGAGTAGTATTCATTCCATACAGTGGTGAGGAATAAATACCTAAAGCAGAGTGCTTGGCATTGTTTGTGCTGTACATAGTGGGCATTAATTTTTGCAGAGAATATAGCGGGATGACATTTCCAGGACTTTTTCAACATCTTCCCTCTAATATAGTTTCTTTTTTCTTTTTTTTTCTTCTGCATAGAAGAACTGGGGTGTAGGTCAAAGGTGCAGGGGGTGAGTGGATTCACCAGGATCAGAGTGGGGAGCAGAACAGGCGGGTTTACTGAAATACACTTACAAGGGGAGCAGCAGGCAAGACCTGAGAGGTCTGCTGCACAATATGTGGGTCAATTAGCTCCCTGGTCAAGAATGGAACTCAAGCAGTAGAGTGAAAGTGCTGAGACTTAACTGGGACGCCCCCCCCTCTAGTGTAGTTTCTTATAAAGGATTGTGCTCATTCTCTGGCATATCTCATTTTGGTATTTGCATTTGCCTTTTAGATACTGAATCTGTAGATGGCCATTTCCCGACCATCCTTCCATTCTCGAAACTGCTGCCACTGTGAGATTTTGTAAGTAAGTGTGGGAAATATAATAATTGGGACTTTGGGAACTGATTGAATTTCACTAGGCTGGGGGTGACCTTTCAAAAGCCCTTTTTTTTTTTTTTTTTTTTGGTTGGGACCCTCGCTGCCGGCGTCGGGGAATGAACCATCTGTGGGCAGCCTTGCAGCCCAAGGCTCAACCACTGCGCCACCAGGGGAGGCCCCCCCCTTTTTTTTTAAAGATTTATTTTATTTATGGATCCAAGAACTGGGAGTATAGGCCAAAGGTGCCGGGGGTGAGAGGATTCACCAGAGACAGCATAGGGAGCAGAACAGGCAGACTGACTGAAATACACTGCTGGGGGGAGCAGCGGGCAAGACCGGAGAGGTCTGCTGTGCCATGTGGGCTAGTTCCCTGGCCTGGGATTGAACTCCAGAGCCTGCTGATAGCTTCATAGTGCTGAGACTAAACCCCTTGTGCCACCAGAGAGACCCCAGAAGCCCTTTAATATTTTTGTTTCAACTCATATCCAAAAATATATAGTAGCACCAAAGCAAAAATTTATACAAAAATCTCAAAAATTGCAGATAGGTTAGTAACAGCATTCCCAAAAGTGTGTATTTAAAAGTCATTTTTATATTGTGTGGAACATCTAAAAATTAAGACTGTGACAAATACTGCTTTTTCTATATTATATCGAGTAATGGATTATTGTGACACTGAAAATACAAAACAACTTTTTTTTCCACAGGAATATGGGATGTGGAATATTCTTATTGAATCATAAAGTATATCTTAATCATAGACTCCCAACAATTTAACTCTAAGGTTTTAGCTACAAAATGATAAACATTTGATTACTTATATTTTGATAACATTTTGCAGTGCTCTAAGTATTTTAAAAAACAGAACTTGTCATAAGACAACTGTTAAAAGAAAATATTTTATGGAAATGTGAAATATTTGTTCCCCTTGTAAGTAGATTTGGAATTAACCTGAGTTCTAAATGATGTGTATGAGTCAAAGATGTTGTTTGCAGGATTACTAAGAGGCTAAAATTACTCACCTCCTAGGACCTATATATCTGTCTCCTTCACTTCATTTGAGAGAAATGACAGTCTTCTGACCTCCTTATTTCCCTTCCAGCATACATTATCTTGCAGTAGAAAAATACTAAATAAATGCGCAAATGAATTAAATGAACATCAAGAATGATGAGCTTGAGATGTGAAATTTTGGGGATGGACTCTGATTTTTTATTTGTATATAGTAAATCTTATTAATATAACTTCTAGCTTTTATCACTTCTGGTTACCTTGTTAGAAGGAAAGACTTTGAATTAAGTTGCAGAACTGCAGGGGTTTATTATCTTGGTTCAGAAGAAAACCAAATAAAACCCTGGGATTGTGGATAAGATATACTTGGTAAAATGTTTTGATGAAGGTATTTTTCTTTAAATAGTCATTGTGAAATAATGGTTTGAGTTTATGAACACATGGAATCATATGAACACATGGAATCATATATGTAAGTTAGATTACTTCTAATTCTTTTGTTTCTGGGCATTATTAGACATAACATAAGAAGTTAATATTCAAAATACATCAAATCTTGGTTCTTTTTAAATTGTGATTTCTGTTTTTTATTTTAGTAGCTGCTGTTGCCCTTGTAAAATTATATACACTTCAATCCCAGGAATAGTGGTATTGCCAAAGCAAAACATCTTCTATTTACATATAAATATCCTCATTCAGCATGAGTGAATACCTTTCTCATTTATAACTAAGTGGCAACAACCACAACAATCAAATTCTATGACATAGATACTAGATTAAAGTGACTTAGCATATCTCAGAATCAAAAAACAATCTTTCAAAAAATTCAGCCTGGTCCCTATGTATAATCTTTCTTAAAGTTATTTTGAATTACTGCCAGATCCCTGGCTATGATTTTGCAATCCCAGCCAAATAATTCATAAGACCTTTGGGGGAGTATATTGGAACTTCCTGCTTCATCCAGTGACATACAGGGAGTGTTGATCTATTTTCCCTGTACCATCTATCTTTTGCTAAGAGACCATAGTTTGAATTTATAAAGTGACCTGTAGGAGTCAATGAACATTGTGGTGGTTTCACATTAACCACAAAATTGTCATTTCAAATGGAATGTACAAGTTCATCACAATCCACTTTAACCCTTTTATGTTTTCAAAGCAGGAGGAAACCAGTTGATGTGAACAGTTAAGTGACTGTTGACTCTGACTTATGTACTTTGTGTCTGCCCTTATCATTGAACTTGAAATATATTGAAAATAAAATCAGAATATTTAAAAAAACTGAATATGATTTGTTCTGCAATGGTTCATTTTAAAATTTAAAGTAATATGTTAATCTATTTTTATCTTTGAATGTAATTTAAATATGAATCTCATTCCCAATTTACCATAATGCTATCAGTCATTTTCCTCCTCTTAAATGTATTTTTATATCTTATATTTTTGTCTTTTTATCTTCCACTGATGAAACATGCTTCTATAAAATTTTTTTTCCCTAAAAAATTGTTGAAGAACTAAAAAGCATTTCAAATCATACGACAAGAGAAAGTATAAGTACAACTGATTTCTGTGAGGTTTATAATATTTCAGCTAATGCATTCAATGAATTATTTTGAAAAGTGATTCCGTAAATCTTTGACTCCTATACTGCATGATTTTTGTAGTAGGGATGGTAAGTAACCTGATTGAGGTATGATTGGAAGAATCATTATGTTGCTGTTGGAATCAAGTTCAGTACAAGAAAAATATAAGAGCATAAGGAAAATTAATAAATGGAATTTGAGATTTTAGCAACTATAATATTGATACATTATAATTACTCATTTTGTATTAATATTCAACCATTGCTTCATTTTAAGAAACTAAAATATGAGTTTAATTATTGATTAATAATTAGTTCCAGTAGTGTAGCTGATAAGAAGGTGCTCAGATAGTCTAAGCAGTAGGCATTCACAAATTCATCAAACAGTGAACAAGGAAATGGTTTTGTTTAATAGAGAATGAGGATCTTATGTTAAGTATAGTTGGAATTAATGGCAACAAGTTTACTGAAGAACCAAAGATTGAATTCTCAGCGCCTTTGGTAACCCAGTTTCATTGCCCTGATTCTGTGAAGTAATGTTTGTGGAGAGTGTGGCCACTGCAGATTCCAAGGCAGCATATGCTATCACTACCTGAAGAGTACAGTGGGTGTATGCAGAGGTTGTGGGCCTGTCTTATTGGTTCAACCCAGTAAGACAGCTGCTTTTCAGATTTGCTTTTACTAGTTTCCAGCAACTCTTCTAGACTAAGCTATGTTCCATACCCAATGCCTCTGGTAATAAGCTTTTTCTTTTTTTTTTTAAAGATTTATTTAGTTATGCATACAAGAGCTAGGGTGCAGGCCAGAGGTGTGGGGATTGAGAGGATTTACCAGAGACAGAGTGGGGAGCAGTCCAGGCGGATCTGCTGAAATACACTGCTGAGGGGAGCAGCAGACGAGACAGGAGACATCTGCCACGCCATGTATGGGTTAGCTCCCTGGGCGGGAATTGAACTTATTCTGCAGTGGCTGTGAATGGCTTCATAGTGCTCCGACTTAACCCCTTGCACCACAGGGAGTCCCCTGGTAATTAGCTTTTATAGGACCCTTATAGAGCTTATGTGTGAAACGGCAAAGCATCACCACTGGTTAAGTGTTGCCAACTCTGATTTCCCTACTCTGTAGTTGAAAGATGGCAGGAATGGAATTGTCTCACGTAGAATTATGGGTGCATGAAAATGAAGAGCATATGAGTTAGCGCATGGAGCCAGTTACTGAGTTCCCTTTTTAAGTTGTTTAATATGGGGTGAAGGGCAAGGCCCTGGTAGTCTGATTAGACCGAGAGGGCTAGAATATGGACAGGATAGATACCCATGGAGGAGGGTGATTGAGGTTATTAGACCACAGGTAACTTATGTTGCCTGGTAATAGAATATGTGAACAACCCCAAGTCATGGCCTATTCTCATCTTGTGTTAGGATGCCTCACTTCTGTTGTTTAGTGAAATCCAATAAATCTGGTAAGACCTGCTTATTGACAGCTTCCTCAACTTGCTTCTCCCGTCTCTCATTTTTCCCTTCCGTTATCTGGTGACTGCTAACTCTGTTCTCTGTTCACTGGATTTCTCTTATGGCATGTAGAGTTAGTTCATGATTACTTTCTTTTCTAAACTAAGATAACCTTAAGGAAGAAGTCTTTCTTGTCTATGTAATCTTCATGCATATAATATGGGTGACATATTATATACACATGAGAAATGTCCTTATAGTTAATAGCTCAGAATAGCTGCTTAAAGGACTCCAGAGAACACAGAAAGAACTAGATTGCGGTAAGGGTTTCATTCTAAAAGTTTCATGTAAATATGAATACATTCTTTTGTGAAATAAATAGGCCCTATTTGGTTAATTGCCTGGGAGAAAGAATTGGTCAATGCCAAAACCATCAGACTCCATTATCAACTACTTAAGAACCCACTGATTATCAACAGAAATCATTCAATTAAAAATCATTCCACCAAGGAAACTAATTCCCTGGGATTTAGAAGCTGACAGAGAGGTCAGAGGAAAACAGATTTACAAGAGTTTAGAAAATAAAGACATTTCTTCAGAAAAGGAATCTCTTAAAGGGCAGCCAAAAGAAAGAAGAAAATGGTTGTTTCAACTTCTACCCCTTTCCAGGACTTTCCTAATCAACTCATTAAAAATAAAATAATAGGCGGTGGGTTCAGGTCTTGGGCTCATGTGGGACTCCCGTCCTTTGCTTCTCCCACTGAATACTGCCTCGTGAAGAGGAAGCCATGGCCCTCTGGATCGCCAGTACAAAAATTGTTGCTCAAAATGAGGCAAAGATCCTTGTAACATGGGTGAAGTGTGTGCTTGTGGCCTCTGCTGCAGCCTCCAAACCCAAGGCAGAGGCCAAAAACAGCTCTTGGAGACATGGGTAACAAAGCC